TTCAACTCAATGCTTGTAATCATTTTATGTCTTTTAATTCTATAAACGTTACTACTCTCTGATTTTTTTTTTCAATCTTTTTATCAATCTTATAGTCAAATGTAGATCCGATGATTTTTAGAAGAAACAAGTTTGTGTATTTTTTTTTTAATGATTATTGGGTGTATAAAGAAGAATAGAATACAAGTTATGGAGTATTAGATGATTGAATTATTTCAAAATGAGATGAAGAAATATAAAGAGTAGTCAAGTTTCCAAATGAGACGAAGAAAGAAGAAGAAATGTACTGTAGCAAGTATCCAAACTACCAGAGAGTACAAGGGCATAAATGAAAATAGAGTTAGCTTTCTTTGCTTACCTTAAAATGCGTGCCAAAACTAAGTAAGACAAATATTTCGGGACAGATGGAGTATATTTTTAAAATTTTTTCATGGTATTAATAAAATACTTGGTAAATGAATATATTGCATTATTTTGTATTATAACTTTGATATTTAATTAAAAAAATAGTGCACAAAAAAAGATAATAGACAATGTAATGAATATAATCAATTGATGAAATTTGAAAGTAAAGAATTTTTATATTTGAGAAAAATAAAGACAATATAACTAATAAAATTATTTCTCTTAATTAATTTATTGATAATGAATAATTTTTTTTTAATAAAGACATTGTATGGACAATGTAGCGAATATAATCAATTGATGAATTTGAATGTAAAGAATTTTTATATTGGAGAAAAATAAAATAGATAATATAACTAATGAAATTATTTCTCTTATTTAATTTATTGATAATGAATAATTTTTTTTTTTTGAATAAAGACATTGTAGATACATAATTCTAAATTAAAGAAATGCATATGTATTATTTTTTGTTGTAGCTACTAAATTTTATTTATATAATTTAATAAGAGTAAAATGGAGTACTAATTATGCCAACTTTGATTGGGATGTGGTTCGAACCTAAGACCTTTCTTATTGAAATCAATGAGTAAGTTAATGGTGAACTAATGGAAATTAACGGAAAAGATAATATTTAATGGAAAAATTAACGGATAATCATATTCATTAAGATAAATTAGAAAATCTTAAGGAAAAATTAAAATCTGATCAATCTGCGCCATTCATTTGATTAAAAATTTGACCGCCATTTTTTCTGCCCATTATAGGCCTAACTCTCTTGGGCTCTTATTAGTATATTAGAAGTATATATATATATATATATATATATATATATATATATATATATATATATATGATGAGAACTAAGAACTTATCCTCGTTCATCTTTTTTATTTAAATGGTTGAGATTTATTCTTCATTTTTAACAAGTGATTTCAACATGTATGTAGTTTATGCATAGAAAATCATAATTATCCATGTATCAACCACGCAAATGACTTGCACACCAATCCCATCCTCCTTTATCGTAGAATTTTATATTTTTCAGGTTTCTCGTTCATGTTCGTGGGTATCAAAAACCAACAACCATAAGGATTGACCATTGGGTAATAACATTCAGTAGCATTTCAACGTTCGACTTTGTAACGTTGCAAAAGCACTGCATTTTTTTATGACAAAGAAAAACTCTAGTTACTACTAAGTAAGTCTTACTTTGACGTAATAATTCACAAATCACGAAGGTCTTGTGCAATAAACTCAATCAAGAGAATGTTGATAAAAATCAAACTCACGACCTTTAATTTATGTATGAAAATCATGTTTTATCCACTCACAACTTTTTTAGGCATGTTGCAAAAGCATTATTTCGATATTTTCATTACTTCGATCAATGGAAGCATTTCCAAATTCCAACATGTTTTAAGAGTGTCAGAAAATATTTAAATTTTAAAGTGCTTTATAGAAATGCATGAAGACAAATAAGAAAACCAAACTCACACATATAGTTTTGTTTTTTTTTGTTTTTTTTTTTTAAATTAATTTAATCAATTTCTTCCCTAGGTGTTAGAGCATTAAGGTGTTTAACATGGCATTAATATAATTTCAAAACCAAATTATAACTAACAAAAAATACTTGACATTAGTCAAGCTTGCAAAATTCATTTCGAGCCTTAAGTTTTAAAAGATATTTGACAGTTAATATTTTAATACAAAGTGAGGCATGCTAAGTCTATTTTTCTAGCTTCGTAAGCTTTTGAGCATATAAATATATAAAATTTATCTTCTCACATAGAATAATCAAAATCTATTTTGACTTGATCTAAATCATTAGTAGACCATACTTAAAAGAATATTCCAAAATGATCACAAGCCAACTAATATCAATTTTCCAATAATTAGATCAAAGAGGGTTGATTGTATAATGCAAGAGCGATTTCACATTTCTGACCTATCAACAAGGTGGCTGAGATTTAATCAAAGAGCCAAAAGGAGTTGCAATGCAATTTACTCTAACATTTATCATCTTTACTTAAAAAAAAAAAAAAAAAAAAAAAAAAACACTCTAACCTATCCATATTATATGTTCAACAAAGGCCCGCACGAATTTTTTTTTTTTTTTTTTATTACAAAGGCCCGCACGAATTTAGTTGAATGGTTCAGTAAGCAGTATTTGAGATAAGTCCTTTATAAAAATCAACTGATACCATCAAATCACAATATACCGTTCATATATTATAATTCACATCTCCTCTTAGAATATTTAGTTTTTTGAAAGCATCTCCTCTTAAAATATATTTGTAGTAATAACAATATTAGTATGAAATATTTTGAATACTATGGTTATTAAAGATTATTTTGATGAATTCATCTTTTTCTTCTAATTGGATATTGTGTCTTAGATCTATATTGTACTGTCATAATTTATAAGATTTGTATATATTGTGTCTTGGGAGAAGAATAATTTATAAGATTCATATAGATACATGTAACGTATAAGTTACACTTTAAATTTAAATATATTAATATAAAGATATGGGCATATGGCTAGTAATATATTTTTAAGAAATTGATATTCAAATAAGCTTAACCCTAGTTATATATACATTATATATACACGCTGTGAATTTATGATGCAAAATCAAGATGCTGAAGCAGCAATTTCTTGTGCAGTTGTGCTCGAGGGCTTGGCAGAGAACCAAGAACGCTGTGAAATTGAGAAGAAAGAGAAGAGGAGAATAAAAAAATTAATTTAAATTGCCCTCATTATTATACTTATTAAAAATTTTCAGTTACTTTTCACCGACAATTTAATTAGAGGGATTGAAATTGAGAAAAAATTAAATAGTTATGATAATAAATTGACAGTTTTAAAATTCATGGACTGCAATTAATAACACCACAATAGTCATATGACAAAAAGTAAACTTTTTTCCTCAAAAAAGTAATCAGATGTGATGAAAGCCCCTTGTGTGCAAAATGTAAAGGCAATGATGAAAACTGAGGATCGAATTGTTTGGACGTCTTGTGATTTATCTCATCTAGCATCCTTGGGCAGGAGCTATGAGTTAGGATTAGTCTAATCTAAGTGTATAAAAAATGCTTTATTCTTATCATAAATTTCCCTTATATTATTTTACCTTCTGATGTGGCTTCCATTCATTGGTTGCCTATGAATTAGTTACCCCACAGTAATTAAAAATACTATTTAATTATCAATTAGATGTTGTCATGTCATAAATAATAAATTGGAGGAGAAAAATATAAGAATATCTAAGGTTGTCCTCAACCCAGCCAATTCTCAACTTTCAAAATGATCTTCAAAAAAAAACATTGTTCTTTTGTTTTGAATCCATTGTAGCTAACAAACTTGCTAATTTTACAAGTTTGCTAATGGTAGCTTTTGCTGCTATGCCATGTATTTTTTATTAGTTATTTTATTTTATTTTTATTATATTTATAATAATATAATATGAAAGTGGAATCACTTTTGAAAATGATAAAATATTACAGGAATGTAGATAAAATAGTGAAGAAATTACAAATTTGATGATGTAGAAGTGTGACTCATTTTTTAATGTGGGGGAGTATTGCAGGGATAAGGATAGCCTAGCATTACTATTAAAAAAAAAAAAGAGTTCTACTACATGTACTCTATATATCACTTTTACTCCATGATGACAAAAAAATACTCCTTTTGTCATATTTTATGTGTCTGGTTCAGTTAACGAGACTTGACTGGAGTTATTTTTAATTCAATTTTTCATATATATTAAGTCTAGTATTAGTATACAAAATTTATATATTTAGAAACTATACTAAAAGTATTATTAAATACAAAAAAAAATTAAAAATAAATAAAAAATTAAAGAAAAAAAAGTTAGTTTTACCAATAAATAGTAAGTAGGGCATATAAAATGGGCAAATTATGTTGTGCATATGTGTGCACAAAAAACGGCGTCATTTTGACTAAAAACGCGCGCCCGACTTTAAAAATATCAGTTTCGATTCCCGTCAACAACATTATGTTGTGCATAATTTGAACTAAATATCCAGAATGAATGAACTAAATATCCGAAATGAATGAACTAAATATCCGAAATGAATGAACAAAATATCTAGAATGAATGAACTAAATATCCAGAATGAATGAAAAAAAAAAACTAGTTTCGATTTCCGTCAACGGCGTTATGTTGTGCATAATTTGAACTATATATCCAGAATAAATGAACTGAATATCCAGAATGAATGAACTAAATATCCAGAATGAATGAAGAAAAAATCGATTTCGATTTCTGTCAACGACGTTATATTGTGCATAATTTGAACTATATATTCATAATGAATGAACTAAATATCCAGAATTTTTTTTTTTTTTGTCTTATGTCAAAACGACGTCATTTTTACAATCATGATGCACACGATTGCCCAGCCTAAGGATTGGATAAAATGAGACAAAGGGAAGATTGAGGGAATAATAAGTTGTATTTATCTTGTAGATCCTAAAAATATTAATATCAAAATTTTGTGTGTGATATTTTCTAAAAAAGAATATTGATCATTTGAATAGTCGACCTGACATCATCTATTTGACTCTGACAACCTCGTAATACCAGCCCAGGCAATAAACACCCTCAAATCTTCAAAGTCCCCTCCATCATCATCACCCAATTTCCTTCAAGCCTTGAATTCTTCAAATTCTCCATAAAAAGTCTTCATCTCATCACCCTTCACTTCCCCCCTCTCGGAGCCTCTGTGCCATCATATTTATAAATTGAGAAGAGAGTGAGAATTGGGTTGAGGGGATAATGGGTTGTTGCAGCAGCAAGAGTGCGGACACAACAGCCAGCCGCTTGGCTCGGTGGCGTTCCACCGGAATCGTCGCTTTACGCGATTCCAAATTGAAGGCATTCTTCTCTCTCTCTCTTTCAGTCTTTCTATCCATTCCTTGTATATTGATTTTGAATTGTTAATAACCTCCGTATATCTATATGAGTATAGGCGATTAGGGATTGAATTTGACCGTGTTTCTCGTTATAGAAATTGCAAAAGCTGATGTAATTAGGGATTCGCAGAGGGCTGGGTTAATTTAGTCCTGTTGGGGAACTGGTATTTGATCATTTGATGTAAGGAACTTTGATAGTTACTTACCCCATTATGCATTTATGCTTCTGTGTTGAAACTGGAAAGTTTAGTTACCACTACTGAAGGATTTTTTCTTATAAAAGTCATGTAATACATTTCTTAAAATATACTGACTTATCTGTTCTCTTCACAGACATTTCCAGATGAAGTTCTTGACCTAGAAAGATCTGTGCGTACACTTGATTTAACATGTAACAAAATAGGTAATTGTATATTAATTCAGAAGTGTTTATCTTCAATAATTTTTTAATGTTGGGTTTCCCATGAATTCGAGCTACTCTAGTCATGCCCCCGGGCATAGCTCAGTGGTGAAAGCCTGAGTGGTGGCCAGCAAATGCCTGGGTTCTAACCCGGCAAGGGGTAAGATCCTCGGAATTAAGCAAGCACTCAGACATGGTTGAAAAAATCGCTAGGCGCTCCTTGGGGGCTCAGGATACACCTAGCCCCTAGGTGCCTGTGTATTTTTTATTTTTTAAAATTTGTTTAAAATTTTTTAATTTTTAAAGATTTGATAATTATAAACTATTTAATACTTTAATAGTTAATACTAAAATATTAAATATTAACCTAAAAACATCTAGAGTTTGAACAATTTAAGGTTATTTTGCTCAAAGCAATGTTGTTTTGAGTGAAATAACCCTTTAAAAAAGAAGGGAACAATATCTAATCGGCCGACTAGGCGACCTAGTCGCTGCCTAGGAGGCCTAGGCGGCACTTAGGTGGCCTAGTCGGCTGCCTAGACCATCAATTATGGTGATACACTAGGCGGCCGGCTAGCGCCTAGTGCCTAGGCGGGATTTTTGCAACACTGCACTCAGATCAATGCGCCACTGAGGCACATCCTGCGATTTACCTCCTCTCACAAGCTCCCCGGGGCAGGGGGCGTGAGGGTCCTTAGGTTTTGGGTTCAAACTTAAGCTACTCTAGTCACTGTTTCACTAAATCTGTATAGAAGTTGACTTTTGGAGTCATTAATGTCTTTTGTTTTCTTTGTTTGTAAGAGCTTCTTAATCGAAACCTAATATCCTATCCCTATACTTCAACAGTTGAAATTCCAGTTGAGATCAACAAGTTAACGAACTTGCAGAGACTGGTAAGAGGACTTGCAATTGTCTATGTTTATTGCTGTCTCTTGGGTATGCATTTCTGTGTTTACTGATAGGTCCATTCAGACTTTAACGGTGCACCTATTGGCTTTTAGATTTTAGCGGAGAACCTTATAGAGCGCCTTCCAGTGAACCTGGGATTGCTTCAATCTGTGAAGGTTATGACACTTGATAAGAACAGAATGACAACCTTGCCTGATGAATGTAACGCTCTTCCCTCCTAAGCTAGGGCACGCCATTTTTCTTTTGTACTTTGTGTTATCTCTTTTGAATCTCTGAGTGCAATACTTTGCGTTTTCGTTCCTAAATTCTAGGGTGCAATCTTCTCCTGTGTAATACCGGGATTTTCCTTTTTTCCTCAATGTTATTGTCTTCTTGTTCAGTGGGCCAGTTAGTGAAGCTGGAGCGCTTATCTGTCTCGTCAAACTCTTTAGTAAGCTTGCCCGGAACAATAGGGAGCTTGCGCAATGTGAGTTGCTTCTAACCCTGATTTTTACACCCTTTTCAGGAGTTTAAACTGCTTTTCCTATGCCCTTAATTCATGATTTTAAGATGTTTTGTAGTCTTTTCAACTTTCTCCAAGCTTTACCTCCCCCTATATGTCATGATTGAAGTGTATGCTATGAATTGAAATCTCATCTGTGTGTGTGTATATATATATATATATATATATATATATATATATATATATATATATATATTTGTGAAGTGTATAAATATCCCTCTCTTGTAAAAACCTTATGTCATTTTCTACAAGCTGTAGCAAATTCTTGATTTTGGCCCTGTTTGGTAACGTAGTCAATTTTGGCTTATTTGACCACTATTAGCTGTTTGACTTGGTTAAACAATAAATATGAGTGTTTGATTAATTAGCTTTTTGTAACAACTTATTAATCCAAAATGCTAAAATTCAAAAAGCTGTTCAAAGTAGCTTTTTTGATCAGTTTTTTGAGAAAGTCATTTTGCATGTAATTAGCTATCAGTTGATTCAGCTAACAACTAATTTACCAAACACTTTTCTACAATCAACTAATGCTATCAACTAATCAAACCTACTAACCCAATCAGCTAACAGCTATTTACCAAACACCCCCTTTATCTTAGTTTCTAGTTTCACCACCTACTACTATTATAGTATCATGACATTGGATGTTGTGTGGGAACATATGTTTAATTAAATTTGGTTATTGCTAAAATGAAGCCAAATACCTTCATGTTCATCATGAAGCAAATGGCACTCGATTTAGACATTTAGTTGCTTAACATGAGGCCTCCTAGACTTTATAGGTTAGGAATTCAAAATTTCCACCCCCGCTGATTTGCTTTTCGATAAACATGTTATGATTCATATTAGTACACTTTTATGTTACAAGACTAACAACATGATTGTTTGATTATGCAGTTAGTACTATTAAATGTGTCGAGTAACAATCTGAAAATTTTGCCGGAATCCATTGGAAACTGTTTCTCTTTGGAGGAATTGCAAGCAAATGGTAGTTTCTAATCTACTCATCGCTCTTTTTGGATTTATGTGTGTTAGCCTCATTGCCAGTAAAGGAAGTGGATATAATCTTCTCCAATAATTAGTGTAATCAAATGGGAGAAAGTGGTCCAGAGGGGAAAGGCTAAAATTACCTTTTATAAAAGAAAAAAAATCGTCAGATATAGCTCATAGCTGTCAAACGATATTGGAATGATTTTTGAATCAGTACATAGTCACTTACGTTTGTGTATTATGAGCTTAAAGACGTCATTAGAATAGATCTCTGTACTTCTGTAGCACTCCACCTTTTGATGCCTTTTTCATTTCTTTCTTTTCTTTTTTCACTATCATGATTATTAACTATTGTTACAGATAACACTATTGAAGAACTCCCTGCTTCTGTGTGCAGTCTTGTTCATTTAAAATCACTTTGCTTGAACAATAACAATCTTAAACAGGTATTTGTCAAGTCTCTCCCTTTTCTGTAGCAAAAACATGGAGTTAATGCCATATGGGGCCTCCGAGTATAGTGGTTTTGCCATGTTTAGTCAAACTTCCAAGTTTTTTTTTTTGAGTACTACTGACTCTATTACAATGTAGTATCTATCCATACATACTTTCTCAACCTATTGAAGCATAAAGAGTCAATGTCCCCACCCATGGTCCTTTAACTTTCAAATTTTAACCAGTCGTGATCCTTTCGGAAGTAAAGTAACGTAGGACCAAGGCTGGTTAGAATTTGAAAGTTGAAGGACCACGACTGGTTAAAGTTTGAAAGCTAAAGGACTATGGGTGGTTAACTTGAAAGTTGAAGGACCATGGGTGGTTAACTTGAAAGTTTAGGACTAAACGTGGCAAAATCATTATACTCGAAGGATCCCAGATGACATTAATTCCAAAACATGTTTATCGGTTTCCTTTATTTGCAGTAGACGTGTATAAACTATTGCATTCTCATGTTTATGCAATGTCTGCATGTAATACAACCCTCACCAAGCGTCCCCGTTGACTCTTTCGGACACAAACTTCCCCGTACAAATTTCTTCGTTTCACTGCAATTGCCATGTTGGCAAAAGATAAAATTTTTACTCCATAAAATATCATTTTTATGTAAATTTTCATCTTATTTTTAGACCAGAATGTTAGGCATGTACCCCTAAGATATATGAGATGTAAGAAATATTCCATTGTTCAGTAAACCAGCGTGACGTCTTCAATTTGTCAGATACCTCCAAATTTGTTAAGAGAGTGCAAAAGTTTACAGAACATATCCCTTCATGGCAATCCTATTTCTATGGATCAATTTCAACAGGTAGTGTCCTCTATTATCCGCCGCATTGTTCTATTTGACAAATTCTTTACGGATGTCACGAGAACATCCTAAATCAAAGCTAAACATTATTTCCCCTCCTCTCTAGATTGAAGGTTTTCAAGAATTTGAAGATCGGAGGAAAAAGAAAGTCGACAAACAGATCGATTCTAATGTGATAATTAGTTCTAATGGGCTCGACGTAGGTGTTGACCACTGACATCTCTGTAAAGGTAGGTGCTTTAGGTGCTACCATTACACCCTTTATTATGTCTCGTGATGCATAGTTTTGTTCCCGTTACAATGCCTCTACATCTCTTTTCGACCTTTGCATTTCATGCCACCGAGGGTAAAACTTTTCAGGAAAGCTGGACTTGGGTTCGGTGAAGGAAAGGAAAACATGTTGTCTTGCATGCATGAGGGGTGCGCTAAAAACTTTCTCGACGAATAGGAAGCTTCTGGATCTTGTATGTATATACTGCTTCCTCGGTATAGTATTTTGATTCGGTGATTTTACTGAAGTAGCTGCAGCTGAGCAGCAAATCGACATGTCTGTTGAAGAGCAGAACTGCTTGCACAGCCCTAATGACATACATTGTATGACTACACATTTTTATAGTGATTGAAAAGGAAGTCTTCTTATGACATTTTTGTGACTATACATTCTTATAGTTATTGGCCCTGTTTGGTAAAATGGCTGATAGCTGTTTGCTGTTAGCTGATTGTGTTAATTAGAGAGTATAAATAATTCATAACATTAGCTGATTGTAGAAAAGTGTTTGGTAAATTAGCTGTTTGGTATAATTTCTTTTCTCAAAAAGCTAATTGAAAAAGTTGCTAGGAGTAGTTTTTTTAATTTTAGCCTTTTGGAGTTGCAAAAAGCTAATTAACCAAACATTTATATTGATATTTTAACTAAATCAAACAATTAATAGTGGTCAAATAAGCCAAAATTGATCTATAAGCCAATTTTTTTTACCAAACAGGCCATTGTGAATGGGTTAAATTTTATTTCCTTTCTAAAAAAGAAAAAAAATTCTTGGGCAGTTTTTTATGAGGGAGAAAGATGAAAAAATTTATTTCATTTTAGCTATTCTTTTTCTTTGACCAATTATACTTTGAGCCTCTGCAGTCTCATAGATTAGTTGCAATAATCCAATGAGTCTGGGTATGTTTAGTGTGGAAAACACTTTTTTTTTTTTTTTAATATATCTAAGTTTTCACCTTTTTTTCCCTCCTTTTCATTTATTTTTAAAACTGGAGTTAAGTTGAAAGTTGGAGATTTATTAAAGAGAAAAAACAAAACAAAGATAATCTTTTTAAAACCTAGTAATATTAGACTTTTTGTGTTTAATAATGTTTTTAATAGTTTCTAAATATATAAATTTTATATACTAATGTTAAACTTAATATTATAAAAAAAAAAATTTGAAACCAAACTGGAACCTTCATTAATGGTGAAGCAAAGCTGAAATACACGCAGGTGGGACGACAGTCCACAAACACAAGTCAGTCGAAGAACCAGTCGCCCGTGCCAATTCGCTGATCTCCTGACATGGCGAACGGATACGTTCCCAATGTCCCTAGCAATTAAATGACATTGCTTAACAATCAAACTTACATGCGAGAAATCTAAAGAAGGAGAATTGAAAGCAATGCAAAAATTTAAACAATCTGTTTCAAGAATTAAATTATTATATCCTATTCCTTTTATCCAAGTGAGGGCCTCTTTAATCGCAACAGCTTCGGCCATGAGAGGATCACTATCGCATTCGAGCCGACCACTTCTTGCTGCCACGAAACAACCCTCAACACCTCGGATTACCGCTCCAAAACCGACGCCGTGGTCAAAAATCGAAGCGTCCATGTTGCATTTATAGTAATTCCGTGGAGGTGGTTCCCAAGTAACAACGTTAACCACCCGTTGTGAACTCGAGTTCTTGGTCGAGTAGGCCTCCTTCCACGAAAACTGCAGTGTTGCAACTTGTTCCCTCAACACGTCCACTGGCTTCTCAATGTTCCGCCATACCAGGTCATTACGCGCTGTCCAGATGACCCAAAAGATTGCCGCCATACGAACAGCTTGATCCGTGCGGGTCAAGCTCAGCCTAGTTTCCATAAAGCTTTGAAGACAACTGCCGAGTAGAATGTCATCTTCTCCCCACAAAGTGCATGCCTTCGTACATTCGCAGAAGAGATGTTCTGGCGTCTCCGTCACATTGGCACAAAACGGGCAGCCGCCTCCTATCCAAATCCTCTTTGACTTTAAGTTCTCTTACACCGGCAGCACATCTCCATAATAGATGTCGAACTTTAGGTGGGACCGGCAATCGCCATAGCTTCGTCCAGGCAGTGAAGGGCGCAATCGGGACATCAACTTCAGCCGACTCAGTCAGAATTTTGTAGCCTTGTTTTACCGTGTACATACCCTGGATATCACCCTGCCAACGCCACGAACCACTGCACTGTGTATGAATCAGTGTTGCTATAATTTTGCGGACATCCTCACTGCAAAAAATATCCTGCAGAATTTCTGTGTCCCACTGGCCGTGATCTGTTATCAGTCCGCTTACTGTTGCTTCCGTTAACTCCTCCATACGAGGTGTGGTGAGATTAGGATTGATAGTATTAGCTAACCACGACCATTCCCAGATTTTCGTCTCTTTTCCACTCCCGATCTGGCGCGCAACACCCCGCTTGAGAACTTGCTGGCCTGCTAGTATGCTCATCCAAATGAAACTCGGGTTTCCTCCTATTTTTGCATCAAGAAAATCACACGTAGGGACGGTAGGGTAGTATTTAGCTTTCAGGACCTTATTAACCAAAGAGTCAGCATGAATTAACAGTCTCCAACCCTTCTTGGCTAAGAGGGCTAGATTGAAATCGTGTAATCTCTTGAATCCTAGACCTCCTCGGTCCTTAGGAACACATAGTCGTGCCCAACTCATCCAGTGTACCCCCTACTGCTCACACTACCCCCGCCCCACCAATAACGGTTGAACAATTTTTCAATAGAGTCACAAACACTAAGTGGCAAAAGAAAAACTGACATGGAAAAAATCGGGAGAGCTTGAGCAATGCTTTTAAGGAGAATCTCCTTACCGGCTTTAGAGAGATATTTGTGTTGCCAAGCCCCGATCCGGTCTCGTATCTTTTCCTCAATGTACTGGAAAGTTGCTTTCTTGTTCCGTCCCAACACCGATGGGAGTCCCAGATATCTCCCGAGGTCCGCTGATTATATTGGCGTACCCCCAAGCAATCGACAATCCCCCGTCTCAAATCAGGCGACGTATTGAAGCTGAACATAGCAGATGACTTTTGATAATTAATCCGTTGCCCTGATGACGCACTGTACTCCTCCAAACAGCCTCTAATTTTCTGCGCCTCACTGTGATTTGCTCTGAAGAAAACGAGACTATCGTCGGCAAAAAAAAGATGTGAATGGATGGGGCACCTCGCGCCACCCTGATGCCGTGTATATCCCCTGCCGCTTCTGTTTGTTGCAAAAGTAATGATAAAGCCTCCGCACACAGTATAAAAAGATAAGGAGATAACGAGTCCCCTTGCCGAATGCCCCGGGTGGGGCTAACCGAGCCCACAGGCTCCCCGTTAACGTGGATAGTGTACCTGACAGTCGAGACACATAACTTCAGTAAATCAGTCCATTCACGGGCAAAGCCCAACGCCATTAGCATACCTTCTAAGAAATCTCATTCCATCCTGTCGTACGCTTTGGCCATATCTAGCTTCAACGCTGTCCAGCCCTTCATACCACTAGTCTTTCGTCTCAAAAAATGCCCAATCTCCCCTGCAATAATTATGTTATCCGTTAGGAGTCTATCTAGCACAAACGCACTCTGCGATTGAGAGACCACACATTTCAGGACCACCTTCATTCGATTGGCTAGGACCTTGGCTATCACTTTATAGCCCACATTGCACAATGCAACCGGGCATCATGTTGACCGGTATCTTTTTCTTCGGTAGAAGGACAATATGCGCATCATTTAACTCTTGTGGGAAGCTACATGTTGTTATACAATTTATAACGAACATGGACAGATCATGGCCCAAAATAGGCCAAAAATGTTGAAAAAAGGATGGTGACATACCATCCGGGCCCGGAGCCATCGAGAACAAGGCACTTTTCACCTCCTCAACCGTGAACGGTTGTAAGAGAGTGGTGTTCATCTCTTCCGTTACCCGTCTTTGAATACGATTCAAAAGACTAGGATTACTTGACTTCGAAAGAAAAATAGCATGGTAATACCTTAGAACCTCTTCATGCATTTGGACTCCTTCTTTCCACATTCCACTCTGGTCTTTAAGGCGTAAAAGCAAGTTTCAACGTTTTCAGATCGAAGCAGCTCTGTGAAAAAACTTAGTGTTGAAATCGCCTTACCTTAGCCATAACTGCTTAGAACGCTGTTTCCAGAACACCTCTTCTTGTCTTAGAAGAGTATCCAGCTCGCGCTCCGCTGCCAAAAACTCCCATACCGCCTGGTCAGTCCTCACTTCTTTAATTCTGGCCATGCGATCACGCAAGATCGAAATCCTCCTTCCAAACCTTTTGAAGTGCTCGCCACCCCACTTCCATAATTGTTGACCACAAAGCTTGATTCGCTGCTGAAACTCCAAACCTGATCAATTACCCTGCCACAACCTTCCTCAAGTAACCATGCTGACTCGAACCTGAAAACCTTCCTAGCTGTTCAAACATGCCCTGGTTCAATATCTAAGAGAATAGCGCTGTGATCAGATGTTGAAGTTGGTAGGTTATGCACTATCACACCCTCAAAATTCTCCATCCAATCCACTGACGCTACAGCCCTGTCTAATTTTTCCTCCACCCACCTGTCCGTCCCTCGTCCCTGCTCCCAAGTAAAACGACCCCCCACCATCCCCAAGTCCACCAGCTGACAATCATTAAAACCATCTATTAACCACGTCGGATGGGAGTGTGAACCCCGTTTCTCTGAAAGACCTGTAATGTCGTTGAAATCACCTAAGACAACCCAAGGCAAATTAGACCGGCCCTTGAGTTGTCGAAAAAAATTAAATTAAAAGTAACATTAATCAAATGAGTTTTTTGCATTTTTGGTCTCACGACTATGGTGTCACTAACAATTTTGATTCACGTCTTTTAAAACTTGTAAAATTGGTCCACGACTATTGACTTTCTTAGCAAATTTGGTCCTTCTAGTGCATTTTTTCGTTCAATTTTGTTGGAAAATTTTACTCCCTATTTTTTGGTGAAATTGGAATTGGGTGACTTTTAATTTCAATCACCATACCACGACCTGTGTTTAATTAATTATTTATTTATTTAATTGTGATATGGAAAAGACAATATTACACATGTTAAAATAGGAATAAAATTTTTCGGCAAAAATTGAACGAAAAATGCACCGAAAGGACCAAATCAAGAAAGTTATAGTCGTGGATCAATTCTACAAGTTTTAAAAGTCGTAGATCAAACTTGTTAGTGACACCATAGTCGTGGGACCAAAAGTGCAAAAAACTCTCAATCAAACCTCATTAATAGAATCAAAAACATAAAATGAGATGGATGGAATATATGATTTGTGTCAAGTTTAAATTAATTTTTTTTTGAATGCTACTAACTCTATTAGATTGTAGTATCTGTTCAACCTATTGAAACACAAAGACGATCTCATGATCTCCCATACGAGAGAGATCACTACATGTCATCTGAGCACAAGTTTAATGGTAGTAAAAGTATCGATGTATGTATAGAATAATATTATATGTTTTCCAACTTTCTACTTCATTTTACTACCTACTTACTTGAAACACTTTGAGTCATTAAAAAAATGTGAGCCACAATTTTATTCTTTTCTTTTTTCTTCCTCTAATAAAATTAAAATATATGACAAATAAGGACATTTCTATTTATGATTTTTATTATGGTTTTGGAGGATAACAAGTTTATGTGGAAGAGAAATGAAGAGAAGAAAGAATAAAATTCTCCTATAATAAGATGCTTTTTACTCAGATAAATGGACCCCATCATGTGTAAATATGGACGCGCTACACGCGTTAATCTTATATTTTTTCCAAAAGAGAAAAGATAATAAGGGGTCGTTTACCAAAATGGAAAAATGGAGAATTTTCTGGAAAAATAGAGAATTGGAGAAGTAGAAGAATGGAAAATGGAAAACTTGTTTACTAAAATCAATTCTCAAATATAATTTTCTATCTCCATTCGTCCATTTCTTTAAGATTTTGGAGAAAGAAAATTCCATGTTCTCCATTTGGAGAATTGGCAAAGACACGCGTGAGTTGTTGAGTAGAGGTCCTAGGTTCGAATCTTACCTTGCGCTTGTTCTTTGCATTTCGCTTGGCTCCACTTCTTCAGTTTTCTCTTAGGCGCCTCTTCTTCAGTTTTTCTTCTTCAATTATTATTATGTTTTTCTTCAGTTTTCTCTTATACGCCTCTTCTTCAGTTTTTCTTCTTCAATTATTATTATTATTATTATTATTATTATTATGTTTTTTTTTTTCCTTTTTTCCTTTTCTCTTATTATTATTATTATTATTATTATTATTATTATTATTATTATTATTATTATTATTTATTACCTTTGTTGTAGAAATGTGCAAATGTTATATGAGATGATTGTATTTAATAAAATCAGAAAATTAGAGAAATGATTATTATTATTATTATTATTATTATTATTATTATTATTATTTATTACCTTTGTTGTAGAAATGTACAAATGTTATATGAGATGATTGTATTTAATAAAATCAGAAAATTAGAGAAATGAATATTATTATTATTATTATTATTATTATTATTATTATTACCTTTGTTGTAGAAATGTACAAATGTTATATGAGATGATTGTATTTAATAAAATCAGAATTAGAGAACTTAAAAATTGGAGGAATGGGGAATGAAAATTAAAAAATTGGAGAAATGAAAAACTGGAGGAATGGAGAAGAAAAAAAGAAAAAATGGAGAAATGGAAAACTAGAAATGAAAAAACAGAAAAATGAAGTAAACGACCCCTAAACTTTTTCGAGTACATGCCACGAGTCATCCTGAATCTTTTCGGTCAACTCATATATTATTATTTATTACATGTGATTCACAACATCCACGAGTACCCATACTACTTTTTTCCGACCAAACTTCTTTTGTCGACGTCGTTTCCGTACGCTCAGATATCGCACGTCGGAAAACCCTAGATTTTACCCTTCTCCGTCTTCCCATTCTCTCTCCTATTTTTTGTTCTTTGATTTGATTAGGCTTTGGTTTCTTCCTTCGATCCGTAAATCAACGCCGGACTCTGCGATTCTCCGTCCCCTCTTTGAATTGATACCTTTCTCGCCCCTCGCCGTTTAGCAAACCGAATTTAAGGTTAGGGTTTCAGATTTCCTCATTCTGAGCCGGATCTGTTTAATTCGGTGCTCTTTTTGCATATTCAAATGGTATTATATGCTTTGACTTTTTGTTGTCTTCGTAGACAAAATAAAACAAAAATTGATTTTTGGTTTTTTTTTTTTTTTTTTTTTTTTTTTAGAATTGGGGATTTTTGTTTAATTCGTTGTGTTTCACCTGAAATTCGTCAGCGCTGTTGGATTGAATCAGTTTTAATTGGAAGTATTATTTATTTGTAGTGTTGTTTTTATTTTGAGGATCTAGGGTTAGGGTTTCTGTTCTGTGAGATTAATTCAGGATTGAAGATCATCCCTTCAATTTTAAGAAGTAGCCTCTAGTTTGATTCACATTTCTTTGATTTTCTTATTTATTGCCTATTATACAGAAAAAAGAGAAGTCTTTGTTTACTGAGTAAAGATTAATCACTGGTTTATCAAATTAGATAGTTTTATTTTACTGAGTAAAAATTAGCTCTCATAATAGTTACCCAGAAGTTAGTTTTACTGTAGACCAATGTAAGCTTTAATTAACCATCCAGTACAACAGAGCTCTTTGCATAAGAGAGAAACTAACAAGTTGGTAGGAATTTATATCTGTAACTCCACATATCTGTGGAAGGGATACACTGTATTTATTAGCTATTCCAAGTAACTAATGCCTTGACTCAGCCTTTCAGCTTACACAATGATGAGAGAAACAACAAATCACAAGCAAAATATCTATAGTTGTCATCTACAAACTCAATATAAAAATTAGAATATTAAGCAAGGGGATCAATGTGAGGCCGTTTGGTGCTAGTGTCTGGTTTTCTAAAAATGGTGAAGTATTTGGTGATAAGCAATTGATTGTGAAGAGTTGTTCTAAATGCATCATGAGACAATTTTTTTTTCATAGTGTGGTGTTGTTTGTTTCTATTCTATGGAGTATAAATTATTCAATTGATGATTTGTGTTATTTCCTTTATGGCTTTATTTGGATACTAAGTCAAGGGGGAGTTCACTTTATTCTATAGTACAAATGAATTGATGAAATAAGGAAGTATAACCTAAAAGTTGGCACCTTTGGACAAAGCTGCTGAGCAGATTCCACCTGCCTTGTTTTTCCATCCTCCTGATAAAAGTGATTCCCCTACCCCTAGTCCCCATGATTCAGCCACACAGTGTACTACCATGCATCCCGCTGCATTTGCTCCAAAAAAAATTCTGATAAAATCATAAGGAGCTGATTCTAACCTTAATTAATCTCATGCTAAAATATGTCTTGAGATTATAGAGACCAGCTGCAGGAGGCAGAACCAATTAGATAGTGAAAATGTAGGCCCTTTGTGTTGTATTGAAGTTTGCTGCATTAACACTCTTTCCAGTCTCTAATTCTCAAGGTTTAAGAGATTGTTTAATTACTTCACTTTATTAAATATGTGCAAGCCAACATTCTTTTGTCCTGTACTTGTACTCTGTATTTCTAACTGCTTTCGAATTTATTTAGCAGTTAATTATGGTGCAAAAACGGCCCTTCGAACAGGAGTACTTCAATGAGGTTTCATCTAAGCAACCAAGGCATGTAGAAACTAATGATCATCTGATTTCTTTGGAATATCCTTATGAACCTGCCTATCTGAAGTCTCATGCATCAGGTGAGGGATGACTTATAACTTGTATAAGCACTCATCTGTAACTTCCTATTTCCAAGCAATTTTAACTCATTTAATGGGCTTAAGCAGCTTGTACCTAGCTTTTTCCTCAAATGCTTGCAATCTCAATTGCATATATAACATCTTTTTGTGAGATATATATATATATTAAAATTTAAATGAGTCAACTAAATTTATGGTAGGGGAAGATGGGGATATTTCCTTTAAAGGAAAACCTTTAAGTGACAAGAAATATGAGTGTGTTTACACTGCTGAACTCCCAAGCTTTGAAAAAGACAGAGAGATGGGGTTTCCTGGTTCTGCTTCCCACTCTTCCTGGGCTACTAGCAGCACAAGTGAAGAAGATGTCAGGTCAGAGGGGCCACATAACACATCGTTCTCTCCTGAATATTACAATCATGACATTCCATTTAGGACTGTTACTCATTCTAAAGAGTTATATTCTTACCTTCTGAGAAATCCTCCTAGTAAGTTGGTTCCTGTTGGACCTGATTTCCAGGCTGAAATACCTGAATGCGGTGGATGTGGCAACAAGGAGAAAGCCAATTCTTCAAAAGATGCATGCAAAACCATAGATCATTCTTATGAATCTTTGGAGTCAAATTGTGGTGGTCAGTTTGACTATGAAAATAGGCTAGCTGGGACTTGTATTGTTCCCAATTCCAAATCAGAATCAGCTGCATATTCTAGTGAAGCTGTTGCAAGTGGAAGAAGTGATTGTTGCTGTGAAGATACTGGTTCTGTTCGATGCATTCAACAGCACATCATTGAAGCAAGAGAAAAACTTAAGACACTTCTTGGGGAGGAGACCTTTGTCAAACTGGGTTTTTATGATATGGGTGAGGTAGTTGCACAAAAGTGGACTGAAGAGGAACAGGAATTGTTCCATGAGGTTGTATCTTCATCTCCTGCATCCTTGGGCAAGAATTTTTGGCACCACCTTGCAGTTGAGTTCCCTCACCGAACAAGGAGGGAAATAGTGAGCTATTATTTTAATGTCTTCATGCTGCGAATCCGTGCTGAACAGAATAGATTAGACCCATTGAATATAGACAGTGACAATGATGAATGGCAAGAGGAAGCATATGACTCTGCTGGGGAAGAAGAAGCCAAGATGACTGACGAAGATGAGGACTCTGTAGTCGAATCGCCAGTTCATCATGATGATCCTGGGCACATTTTGATCTACGATGATTATAAACACCCATATTATGAAGATGCTGGGCTTGCAATCTGGAGAGATTATAAGCATCTTGGTCATGACACCAATAAGGTTGTCACTACTGTACCCGAAGAATGTGGTGATAAGTTATTTGAGAAGCACAGTTCTGAACTCACAGTTCAACATCCAGACAGAAGTGAGCCAAATGAAGCCAACCATGCTGAACTTGACGGCCCTTCTACTAGGGCTGATAACAAACATTGGACTAGTGATTATGTAGGTACGGGCAATAGTAATGGGCATGAATTTGTTTTGGAGCCCAGATTTGGCAGAGAATGGGACGTCGGGTACTCAAGTTGTACCAAAAACGACGTTGACTTCTTGCCCACTTGCTCGATGATTGAAGAAGTTTTTGGAAACGAGGCATGCTATGACAAGAGCCGAGATGGTTATGGTTCAAGTTAGCTCTACGCATCGTTTTCAGCCGTAGTCGATTAATCCTGGGGATGCTTTTGGGATAGAGTAGCTCCTAAACACCCCCTTGTGTATATTCAAAATGGTGGAATTTGGAATTTTGCTCAGTTTAAGATAATATTTTTGTTAGGCTGTTAGATGAGGTAAATTGTACTTGCATTATGCACACTGTATAATCACAAATGAAGATGCTCTTTGTCCCTCTGCTCAATCAAAAGTAACACACAATTTATATGAAACATTAACTGAAGATCTGTAATAAGCAAAATATAGAATGAGATGTATGAAAAAAAAAAAAAAAGACAAACAAACAAACTAGTTAGTTATTGTTGATTTGATACTAGTATATCTTTCTTTTTTTTTTTTTCTTTTTTTTTTTTATTAATATTGACTCAATTAGATTGTAGTATCTGTTCAAACATATTTTCTCAAAGTAATAAATAATGAGTCAACAACGCTTCCACTGAGGCTCGATCTCATAACCTCTTACATGAGAGAGGTCACTTCATGTCATCTGAATAAATAAATCACCACCATTTTCTTGCCTTGCTGTCTTAGATCTAGGATGCTGACAGCTCAGTTGTGTCTTCATCTAGTAAATAATAAACAAATAAATTAACAAATAAATAAATCACCACCATTTTCTTGCCTTACCGTCTTAGATCTAGGATGATGACAGCTCAGTTGTGTCTTCATCTATTAAATAAAGGCTGGAAAATCTAGCATTTTTAAAATTTTTAAAGAAATGTTCTTAATTAATGTCTTCATCTTTCAAGAATGTCTCTGGATGAGAATAATAGTTTTGCGAATAATCTTAATCAAATCCATTGTATTTAAAGTACAAGAAGATATGTATTTATAAGAATACAAAGAGTCCCGTCAGAATAAAAATGGTAAATGATGACAAGGAAAAGGAAATTCTAGTGTGCCGTTGGAACACTCAAACATTACATTACAAGCTTAGCAATGAATTTATTTATCTAGTGGTATATATAATATAATAATAATAATACATTTATGACATTCCTTCCAGCTATAATACATTTGCAGACACAATTTGCTCTTAAGAATCGAGCATGGTATAAGAGTGTGGGACTATAAACCTCATCTACAACCTGGGGCATTCAGGTTAGGGAACACTATGAATTTGATGGACAAAGGGGCAATAGATATCGCGGAATTTACATTCCGAAGTGCTGGCAACATGTTCGGGATGTCCCCGCTTTCTGTAAGCTGTAATGGCGTTCCATTCAGAAGCACTGTTCTGCTCTTAACGTTCCCGTCTTCTGGACTCAGATGGTACTCCTCCACCGACAATGTTTCATCCACTGTCTTGCTTCCAACCCACGAAAAGGTCTCCTTCAGTCTATGGGTGAAGGATTTTTTCTCGACTTTTCTCTTTAGGTGCAAACCCATGGTGGATTGAATGTCCACTCCAAATTCGGTTTGGTTGCTTAAGTTGATTAAAAGCAATGTCACCCCCTCCTGCACAAATCGAGAAGGCGCAATATAGAGCTCGAATAAGAGGCATAATGTATCTAATCGGGTTTAGGAAGGAATAGTTAGCTTGCACTACCATTTCTAATTTCTAATTGTACCAGAAAGAGGGAAAAATGGAGTATATGTGACACCCTATACATGAATATAGAGTTAATAAGTAATTTAGTCCTAGTGTTTTTCTCGATTTAGTGGTCATGAACTCAATGATTTTACCTCATCGAGTCCTATGTTAGGATAGCTTGGTAATTTCCACTCCATTAGTATCCAATTTAGTCCCTGACTATTAGAATTTTACCCAATTTAGTCGATGACTACAGTGAGTTTTCTCGATTTAGTCCTTGATTCTAACCGCCAACAGACGAAAGGCCTGCCAGAGGACTCAATTAAGTAAAACTATCGAAGTCCAGGACCCAATAATAAGTACAAAAAAAGAGTTAATACCTAATTTAGTCCTCGACTATAATGAGTTTTCTCAATTTAGTCCTAAACGTTTTTTTGTGTTTAATTAGGTCATCGACTTGGATGGTTTTATCCAATTGAATCCTCTGTTAAAATATCTTGGTAATTTCACCTCTATTAATACCTAATTTAGTCTTCGACTTTAGTAGTTTTACTTTAAGTTAGTCTTCAACTATAGTGGTTTTAACCAATTTAGTCATCAACTATAGTGGTTTTTATCAATTTAGTCATTGATTGTAACCGCATAAGATGACTCAATTGGGTAAAACCATCAAAGCCGGTGACCTAATTAAGCACAAAAAGACGACGTTTAGGACTAAATCGAGAAAAATCAATAAAGTCGATGACTAAATTAGGTATTAACTCGCACAAAAAGTCATTTAAAAGACTAAATCGAGAAAAAAGTAGTATAGTCGATGACTAAATTGAGTGTTAACTACGTGAATATATGTGTGTAGAGCTCTTACACGGTCTTTTGTGCAGTGGGCATATGAGCGCAGGTATGGCGACGCATCACTCTTAACCGCAAGCACTCCGCTCCCCATGAGCTGATGCCAGAGAAGTGCACTGCATTGAATTGGGTATAAGCATTTCATTTTGCAGCACCTCAAATCATAAACCATTGGGTTCACCTCACCTGTAATAATCGGGGTTAGGGACGAAAGATTCGGTGTCGAGGAGCCCATAGTTCCCCCCTATTAAAGTCTGTCTGCAATAAACTTTAGTCCTGTATTTGGCCGCCATCCCGAGCTGATCTAAATACCTAAAATTCGATTAACAAAGTTTCGTCGTTTTCATATGCACAAATTCACGCATTGCAGTAACTTCATATTCTAGTTCAGCAAAACGGGATTACCAAAAGCTATTCACGAAGGCATTGGACACGTTGTGTCCACCGCTGTTATACGCCCCGCCAGATTCCCCAACCCAAGCGGAAGCCCAAGGACCGTTCGTTTGAATGGTTTGAGTAAGATCATGGAATGTCTGTGATATCCCATCCAAGTACTCGGGATTCAAAATTTTATTCACGAGATTATGGTCAGATCCTGAAACAGAACATATAATTTGTTCAAACTAGTAACATTTAAAAAAAAAAAAAAAAAAAAAAAAAAGACTATGGTATGCTAAACTTGTCTAACTTACCTGGCCCGAGATTATATATATGATGTGTCAAGGCATTGACAGTGGACGGGCCCGAAACATCGAGGAGTTTCCCGAACCACGCCTTATCGAAAAACCCCCCCGGTGCCAAGAGAAGAGGCTTTGGTCGAGTATTCGTATATAGCTGATCCAAAAGAGCATTTAGATTAATTGCGTCTTTTCCATATAGGTCTGCATCAACGCTTGCACCAATACCTGTTCCCGACAACTCATTACCTAAAAAAACAAAATGTTGGTTCGGGAAATTCAGTCTTTTTTTCGGTGCTTATAATGGGAAGAGTTACACACTTGAAGAAAAATATAATGAATAATCGGGAAAATTTACCAAATTCCCATGAGTGTATCTGGTAACCCTTGGATACGGTATAGCTAATGAAATCACGGGCATTGCTAGAATCCCATTTTCCTCCCCATTGCTGCTTATTCCCGTGCTGTCTCCCATGTAAAGCATTCAAGCCAAATGTTACAAGTGCTCTGAATATCAGAATCGTGCGATTAGAGTTGTGTTTAAGCATAAAATTACACTTCACAAACCCCGAAAATGGCGGGGAGGAGCAAGGGAAAGGTTAATTTGTGTATCTTGAACAATAAGATGCAAGATTTTGACGAATTCGAAACAAAAAGATTGAAAATCAGAAAAAAGATAGTATAATTTACCCCGTCTTCTTGAAAAAGCCGTTAAGCTCATCCCATCTATCCATATGCAAGCATCCATGCGAAAATCCAAACAACCCGTCCTCTTGCTTTCTAAACGGATGGCAAGGGATATTCAGATTGCCCACATCGTACACTACTTGGTCTTGCAATGAACCCCCGATTCGTAACCTCAAACTCTTGAAAGCTGCAAAATTATCGAAGCCATTAATACGACCATATCGGAACAGAGGAAAGTTATGCCATGAGCCAAAAGGGAAAAATAGATTGCAAAAGCATTTGTAGGAATAGATTTTGTTCTATTCTAAGATGGCATTTTAACAGTTTCGAGGTCTAAATGAGAACAAAAAGTTCCATAGTCTAAATGCTAAAATCTTAAAAAAAACACAACACAAACCTTGAACAGAATTTGCCAGAAAAGGGTGAGACAGATCCTGGAAAACATCAAAACAACAATCAAGAATGCTGACAAATTGTTACTTTTCGATAGAAACAACGAAATGCATTATCGAGTTGCTGATCAATCTCCATACCAGGTTCATCGCAGATGCTAACCCCCACGGGCATTGGTCATAGTTACACTTGTCGTGAGGCCACCAATCGAGAGTAGCACATATATAATTGGCATCCGTGTCAGCAATCCTTGTCGTTGTATCGATCACAAGCCCCGCATATTCCACTGCCTGACCCGAAAACGCCAGAAAAAGCGCCACAATGGTTAACACAAAAGCTAAGAAGCCCATAGGTTTCGATTCCCTCCGCAGCTTAGCCACAAGATGAACTGATCCAAATTGACAACAAGTATGTCACAGTTCTTAAAAACATCATCAAACACAAATATTCTGAGATTTAAGGAGTGTGGTGGTTAAGGTAACATCAACTTCAAACATAAAATTACAAAACATAACTAGGATCTTGAAGTGCCACTTCAGAAGCTGACTAGTCTAACAGCCAAACAACAGACTATCAAAAAACATCATTCTTAAAAAAACATCATAGATGTTAATGTTACTGCTTATTATCTTGGAACCTATGCAAAAAAAAAAAAAAGGAAAGATGGAAACCACCCAATCAGAAAAAAGAGACTAGATCCAACAAATCAAAGAAGTGGACTTTTTCAGTTAAAGACAGCAAATATTTTACTTAATACAAAACAAGAAACCGAAAAATGACATACTAAATAAAGGAAAAGGAAAGAATCAAAACATTTATATCCAAAATTAAGCAAAAACCCATACCAGAACTAACCTCAAACACTACAAATTCACAATCAATGGCTTGGGTTTCTGTAAAAAAGGAAGCAATAATATAATGTGAAAGTGCGAGATGCGTCTATGCTTAAAGGCAATGTTTTTTTTAGAGACGAAAAAAGACAAGAACATGGCGTAAGAGAAATGGGGGCTGTCTTGAATTTGAGCTGAAGAACATGGGAGCTGATGCTTGTTTGTTTGGATAAGGTGTCGGCATCAAAATCCTAAATCCACCCAAGCGTTTGGTACATAAATCCTTTTTGGTAATGGGTAAGGTTCCAACTCCCAATTGCAGAAGCAAAAATAAAAATCAAACTGGGAAATGATTGAAGCTTCTTTCCAACTTGGTCGACAAAA